TTGTAGAGGCATTTGAGAAAGCTTTTGTCAAAATACTTTGTTTTTAATTGTTAAAAACATTTGTAGAGGCATTTTGCAAAATCTTTTAAGTGAAGAAACCTCATGCAACAGAAATCTTTTAATTTTAGTATTAAAAATTTAAATTATATTTTATTAAATTAAACTAGTTACAATATATTTTTTTACTTTGAGAATGAACAATATAATTAAACTCAAAATTGACAATATTATAATACATTTTTGAACTCTTTTGGATTTTTTTTTCCTAATTTTCGATAAAGTTAATTTTAATATTTAAAAGTATTTAACATTTTGAATTACGAAAGGTTTTCTCTAATAGCAAATTTAAAAACATAATATTCAAAAAAATAGTTAATGTAAGTTTTCATGAGAAGATATGATAGCGGTTCCACGTTAACCAGCTATCTAAAGTATAATTTAGATAGCGGTTAATGGTTAAGCTGCTATTAGAAGTGCACTTTTAAGAGCGGTTCTTGTGGAACCGCTATCTCAAATGTATTTCGCTTGAGCGACAATATTCTCGCTCGAGCGAAACACCCCCTGCACAAAATTGGCATTCTCGGGTTGTATTTCGCTTGAGCGACACTACTCTCGCTCGAGTGAAATACGATTCTGATCGATCATAACTTGAAATGATCGATCATAATTGAGAGGATATAATAGCGGTTCCCTTATAACCGCTATCCGAAGTGTATATATGATAGCGGTTAAGGCTTATACGATATCTGAAGTGTATTTCGTTTGAGCGAGACTACTCTCGCTCAAGCGAAATCCGATTCGATCGATTATATTTTCAAAATGATCGATCATATTTGATAATTTTTTCAAATAATTAATTATAATCGATTAGTTTTCTAAATTATTGATTAGAATTGATTAGTTTTTCAAATAATAGATTAGAATTGATTAATTTCGAAATATGTACTAAAAAATTATAATTAAAACTATAAATTAGTTAAGAATATTGACTATTGTAAAGATAAAGTAGAACATGGGAGGAGATGAGGATGATAATATAATGATAGAACTTACAAAAATGTAAAATTGAGAAGTTTGAAACAAATAAAATTAAGAAAATAGATATTTAATTACACTTTTAATAAATTTAAGATAATACTAGTTTTGATTTTTATTTTTAAATATTTATTTTAATTATTTAAAACAGAGAAACTATAATTTTAGTTTCTAACTACTTGAATTTAAAGAATTAAATTTATTATTATTTAATCTTTTAATTTTAGTATTAAAATTTTAAATTATATTTTATTAAATTAAAATAATTACAATATATTTTTCTACTTTGAGAATGAACAATATAATTAAACTCAAAATTGACAATATTATAATATATTTTTGAACTCTTTTGGATTAATTTTTTTTCCTAATTTTTGATAAAGTTAATTTTAATATTTAAAAGTATTTAACATTTTGATATAATGAGCATGATAATATAATGATAGAATTTACAAAAATGTAGAATTGAGAAGTTTAAATTTTTTTTAAGAAAATAGAGATTTAATTATACTTTTAATAAATTTAAGATAATACTAGTTTTTAAACCTTTTTCTAATATTTGTTTTTAAAAATATAATATCATTTTTAATATTTTATAGATTTTATATTTATATATTTATAAAAGTAATTGGATTAAATTTATTATCCTCTCATATATTATTATACATTTAGCGTAATTTTAGTTTATTTAAAAATTAGAATACAAATATACTATACCAATATACCATTATATTATTTTCATTGTATATAAATTACAAAATTAATAATTTGTATACTATACTATACTAACATATTATTTGTATGCTATACTAATAGTATAATATACTATATTATAATATTATTTGTATACAAAACTAATATCTTTATATATAAATATATAAATATGGAAAGATATAAATATATGTAAAAATATAAACATATAAATATATATAAATATGTAAATATATAAACATATATCTTTAATATTTTGTAAATGTAAATATAATTTATATATATTTTTAAATCTTTTTCTAATATTTATTTTTAAAAATATAATATTATTTTTAAAATTTAATATATTTTTTTCAAATATATAAATATATAAAGATATAAATGTATAAGGATATAAATAAATATATCAATATATCAATATATAAATATATCAAAATATAAAAATATAAAAATATATATATATAAATATATTAATATATAAATATATCAATATATAAATATATATAAATATATATATATATATATATATATATATATATATATATATCAAATATATCAATATATCAATATTATCCCCTCATATATTAATATACATTATGCTATATAAATATATCAATATATAAATATATCAATATTTAAATATATATTAAAATATATAAATATATTTTTATTTATAGATTTTATATTTATATATTTATACGGATATACATTTATTTGTATATAAATATAATTTATTTGTAAGTTATTATTAAAAGATCCTAGTAGCTCGGTGGTTGGAGTTTCAGCTCTCCAACTCTAAGGTATCGGGTTCGAATCACGATAATGACAATAAACCACCTAATAATAAGTTAAACTAAATAAATATAAATAAATACTTAAATAAGCAAAATATAATATAATTAAGAGATATCGGTCACTAAATCGGTCACTAAAATCGGTGACCAAGGAAATAGTGACCGATTCCAGTTGGTCACTATTTTAATTAGTAACCGATTTTGCACATTTAGTGACCGAATTTTCGGTCACTATTTGGTGTTTTTCTTGTAGTGAATTTTTTTTCGTTTCTAAAAGACAAACTAAATGTAATTACTTTTTAGAAAATCATCAAACAAGATGTGAGTAGTGTATCTTTAAATTAATTGATAAGATTTTAGTTATTTTATTTTTATAATTGTTCTGCCTCAAGGGATCTGGCGTTTTAGGTCTTCTCCCTCCCTTTTATAATCAAATTTTCCCTTAGGTTTTTTCCCTCTTTGCATCTATCGGTCCCAATAATATCTTATTTCTCGTACTATTTACGCATCGGGCTCATTAAGTATCAATCAAGTCCATCTCCCCCAAATGGGTTTATCTTGACCCATTTTACTCATTCAGTTGGACCCGAACCCAACCAGACTCAATCTCTATGCACATACCACAGCCCCCAAGTCTTAAATTAGAAAAATATTTCTAATGCAAAGACTAAAAACCAAAATAAACGTCGAATACACTTCATCCCTTAATATTTCATGATATAATTGCAAAGTTCAACCACTTAAAAGGAATAAACAACCATTAAAAATCAAACTTACAGTAATCGTCGTCTTGATGTAGAGTGTGAAAATTGCTTCCGCGAGTACTTGAATTTAGATGAATATTAACTTGCTTTTACTCGTACTCCAATTTAGATCGCGTTTCGATTTTAGTTCGCATTCCGAACATAGCTCACATTCCGAGCATAGGTTGTATTTTGTCCATAGTACATATTTCGCACATAGGTCACATTTCGACCATAGTGCGTATTTCGTATATAGGTCTAATTTCGACTATAGTATGCATTTTGTACATAACTCGCATTCCAAGCATAGTTCCTATTGGAGCAAATAAAAAACAATATTTTTAAATAACAAGAGAGAGAGTGAGACTTTCTTCATGCGTAAAGACACAAAATATATGAACATATTAAATGGATTCGGTTATTATAAGAAAACTGAAGTTAAAAAACACACAATTCACTGCATAAACGAAGATAAATTCGAACAAAAATATTAGTAGACACAGAACTTGACCTCTAAAGAGTTAAATAGTAGGTTAATATATCTGTCAAGTTATGTCTACAATAGGTTAGTAATAGTATCTATCTAACGTTAGCATCGCAGTCCCCACTATATTTAACTTGTTTTTGAAGAATTGTCTGTTTAATACATCAAAGCAGACAGCAACTTACAGTCTTCATTTTGCATATTCTTTTAAAACGTCAAAGAAAATTCATGATTGTATCAAATAAAACTCATTTTATCATCTAATCTGACCAATTAAATACATCAAATCAGACAGCAACTTAGAGCCCTTATTTAGAAGATTCTTTTAAAACAAAGAAAATTCATTATTGTATCAAATTAAACTCAATTTATCATCTAATCTCTGACCAATTAAACACATCAGAGCAGACAGTAACGTACAACCCTTATTCTCCAGATTATTTTAAAACAAAAAGATCAAGCAAGCCAAACATCTCCAACATAACAATAATATATCACGTACACATCAACCACGAAATATAAAAACAAAAGCAGGACATGCACATAGTTAACAACAAGCACAGGTAATGTCCATTATTAGCAATATAAATCTCGTGCTATATTTCCTTTAAAAAACAAAGAAAACTCGTACTATTCATTGGTGATTACCAAACAATAATTTGCCAAAGTAGACTACATTCTGAACAATTACTACGAAATGATCAGACCTTAAGGAAAACAGAATTGTCTAATTACCAGTACTATTCATTTTCAATGCCATTAGTTGTCAAGTTCCTCATTCCATCACAAAGCTCGACATAAAAAAATGTGAATTTTTTTCTCTTGATTCCCCACAGTTATCCTCGTTTAAGAAGACACTCCTATTCGATACTTCGGACATGAAACACCTCTTCCATACTACCCCCATTCAACAAACCTGAAAGAAAGAATCAGGTGTGCTGCTGAGAGTGCTGTCGGTGCTCAAGGTGGCGGCGCTCGTGGGGGAGAGCGACGAGATAGGAGAATATCATTCCGCCGTAGCAGACATGGAAGATGGGATCAGGGGAACTGGTCTCGATGTATTTGGCGTGGTAGTTGTCCATGCCACGCTTAATCGCTCTCTTTATGTAATCTAACGACAGCATTGGTTTCACGTGCTCCGGAATATCGCTCAACTTCTTCCCCCTTATCTCGTTGTAGAATCTCCTCAGCGCCATTGCTTCGCTCTGCAACAAACCCTAGATTTTCTGATTGCTACTCTGCCTTCACCTTCTTCAATGTTTCCAATTCTTTCTCCAGAGAGTCAAGCCTAGACTCCTTCTCTCCTAAAACCTTCCTCAATTCAGTAGCATCCGCCCTAGCATCCTCCGTCGCACTCATCTCCGATATCATATCATGTTGTAGCCTCGCCACCTCCGTCTCCAGGTCCGCCGCCCTCGCCGCGATTACCTCCACCGCCTTCGCCGCCTCGCGAGACTGCACCATCTCTCGCTGCATTTCTTCGATCTTCTCGTTAGTCACCGTGTTGTCGCTCCTCAATCCATCGAGCTCCGCCGTCAGCTTCTTGATCTCCTTCTTCCTCGCGGCGTTCTCACTCATCAATTTTTCGCGCTCGCGTTGCAACACGGCAATCTTCGTCACCGATTTTTCACCGTACTGATCATCAACGCCGTCGTTGGCAACACCGTCATCTGCCATGGCTGATTGGAGCGAGAGAAGGCGTAAAGAGAGTGTGCGGTGGTGACAACGAGAAAATGGAAGATGAATTCTCCAGGAAAAATGGAGAGGATTTCCTGGGAAGGTGACAAAGGAAATAAGAGGTTTGTGTTGGCCAACATTTTCTTTTCGAACTACATCGTATTCTTTTCTTTTCCAAAGGTAAACCGGTCAGGCTTTTGATTTGATTGATTCCATTGTTGTTAGGAGTTATCGTGATTTGATTTGAACGTGAGCGGAGGTAAATGTTCTCCCTTAAAAGGATAGGATCTTTTCCTTCTCTTTTATAATCAATTTTTTTTTTAGGTTTTTTTCCTTTTTCATTGATTGATTCTAATAATATTTTATTTATATACTATTTACGCACATGAAGAATCAATCAAATTCATCTTTTTTAAATAGGTTTTTCTTTTGAGTCACTCATTCATTTGGATCCGAACCCAACCACATCCAATACACATAATATTGTTGTCTTTTATATAAATCAGTTCTTAGATTAATAATGTGATTTTTTTTTTTAGTTTTATTTTCTCTCTCTAAAGAATAGTAATAAGTAAAAAAAAATGGTTGATTTTATATTTAAATTTATGGTTGTGAAAATGGTTTGCTTATTGATATATATATATATATATATATATATATATATATATATATATATATGATAATTAGCTTGTATTCGTAATTTTTTATCTTAATTTGCATTATGTTAATTAAGATTATTCTAAATTTATTATAAATTAAAAATCACTATAAAAAATAAAAATTAGTACATAAAATTTGTATAATTGGTTAGGTTAAAAAATAAAACCAATTACAAATGACTTTATATACACGATCATATATGTAAAAAAATACAAAAATCTGATTACATAAAAGTTCATATAATTTTTAGTCATAAATGCGATACAAAATATAATGAAAGGAAAATAAAAAGAGAAAGTATCAATAGTAAATAAGTATACTTTTATTTCATTAATGGAAAGTAATATATAAAAAAATCAAGATAAAGACTCTTATTGTCTCATAAAAAAAATAAAAAGAATGATTGATTATTTAATATAATTTAGTAATTGAATTTATTAGAATAATTACATATGTTGCTGTTAAAACCTTATCTTGAAATGAAATGAAGAAGGAGAACTTGATAAATAAGATTCAAATAATTTACCCCGAAGACAAAGGTTAAAAAAAGTGATGTGTTACAAACTATTAGAGGGATTTTCTATTTTGATAATTAATTTTGTGTTTCTAAATAGTAGGAAAGTAATATTTTGTGTTCTTAAAATGTCACAATAAAAAAAATCACCTTATAACTCAAAATTTAATTTGTAGAAAAAAAACTAAAAATTAAATACAATTAATAATCACTACAAGAAAAACGTTATTAGCGACCTAAAAAATCGATCGCTAATGGCCAAAAATCGGTCGTTATTCCGTTAGCGACCGAAATTAGCGATCGAAATTGTTGGTCGCAAAAGGGCAAGTCGTTAATTTGTTAGCGACCGATTTACATTTCGGTGATGAAGTGGTCGCTAAAGTGGTCGCTAAATAATTTGGTCACTTATTCATTGAAGATCAAAATAGCGACCGAAAATAATATAATAAATCGATCAGCTAAATTCGTGGTAAAGTTTTAAAAATAGCGATCGATATATTCGATCGCTAATATATTAATATAATTATTTAAATAATAATTAAAATCGGTACGCTAAATCGGTCGCTAAATTGGAGACAAAGTTAAAAATAATAGCGACGAGTATAATCGATCGCTAATATATTAATTGAATTATTTAAATAATAATTTAAATCGATCGCTAAATTTGAATTGTATATTATAATAAATTTGTAGCAACCAAAAATTCGATCGCTAATCTAACCAAATCGAAAATTTTCGTTTAAAATTTTGTATATCCAATTTGACAAAATTTGTACACGCTTAATTCATCCAAACATAACACAAATGAAAACTTAAGAACTAAAGTCAAATTATTCAAATCATAAAATTTGTACCTGCTTAATTCATCCAAACATAACACAAATGAAAACTTAAGAACTAAAGTCAAATTTTGTATATCCAATTTTACAAAATTTGTACCGCTTAATTCATCCAAACATAACACAAATGAAACTTAAGAACTTAACAACTACTCAAGATTCAAAGTCTTAATATCATAAAATTGAAAATTAGTCCTCTGGTATATTGTTAGTGTCATGTTGACTTGTAGTAGGAATTTTATGAAGGAAGCCAAGATCTATTAATTATTCTATTATAATAATAATCCTAATTAATAATTGAAGGTCATTCTTTGAGGAAGTCAAGATCTGTCGATTCCGGATCAATGAAGGTGTGACTCGAAACCGCTCAGCTCCTTCATTCTTCAATTCTCCGGCCCATTTCACTCTTTGGGATGGACGAAACCCGGTCCGAACACCCGCACTCTTATCAAATTACTCCAAACTTGTTCAACTCAATAAACAACAATTTTATACACTTTAGACCCTCTTTCACTTTGATGTTTTTATGAAATTATCAACAATTTTGTTGTCGGATCCATTGATTTAATGAGTATAAGAAGGCCTTGGTGATGATAACAATACTACATAATGGAGTTAGAAATGATTGCCTGTATTCATAGAAGCAAGAAGTTCTTTCATTCTCAACTTTGCCCCAATTATTCCACCTCTGCAGGCTTTATACATTGATCCATGAAAGTGAATGCAAAAACCACTCTTGCAAAAGGTCTCCATGGTCTTCCCGGATATGCATATGAAGTTCCTCCATTACCTGTGACAACACATCCGCAATGACACCACAAACAAAACATCATGTAAGGAACCAAAATGTTCACAACATAATAAAAGTACTTTACTTGTGTAGTATCCTTTCTTGGACTCGGAAGTTTAACAAATTAACACACCAAAGAAACACCGTAAAGGGAGAGGAGCAAAATATTGACAAGGAAGCATAGAGTAGTATGAGATTCAAAGATTTTTATTCTAAGATTTCTTACGGGATTCCCGAATTCATTGAATTTTCAAGGGATCATTTCCCTAGCTTCAAGAGAATCTGGTTCTTGTTTTAACCTAGAATGTTTTTTCTAATTAAATACTCCTAAATCCGTGTTAGCCATGCTTCTAAACATTTACAAACCAAACTGCAAAACTTAAAAGCAAGATCATCTTCAAAACCGAGCATTCTCTCATTATCTTAATCGAGTTTTCATAAACATGACTCGATCATGATGATAAACTTCAACCTAGGTACTTACTTGATTTCACATCGGAAGAACTAAGAGAGAACATATTTTGCCTTGGAATTGGAAAACAAAGTAAGAGTCACTAACATTGTTGTATTGTAGGGGAAACAAGATGATTGGGAAATGTCTCTTTCCTTGTTAAACAAGTTACAATGACTAAAAAAAATATTGTGTGGGAAGATGATGTTGTAAGTATTAGGCATGATCACACACCTCGAGGAATACATAACCAGCTTTTTCCTATGGAGAGTTTACGCTCTCGTGCGATTATAAACCCTGCGGACTTGCAATGGATGTGACAATGTTCCAAGAGTGCAAGTACTATTACCAAAAATGAAGTCCACACTCCCTTCAATGTAACAATCTTTCAAGTATTGATTTCCATAATGTAAGTACGAGTGTGTCCTGCACTAATCACAAAATAAGTTTATTTATCACCTTGGTACCTCAGATTTTCCTCAAATGAAACGAAGGATAATGGTGTACAAAACCATCTAGCCTAACAATCATGGCCTCTTGTTAATTGAAGATCTTATTATGTTTACGCAACACACATTATAAAGGATACATCATGCACACATAACTTTCTAAAATCAAACTCAGAATAAAAATATGAAGATCGTGAAGCACCCGCCACCCAAGGAACACTGCAATTATAGAAAGCACAACGATCTGTCTGTTACTCCGAGTGCCATCGCACACCTGCACCTGCTAGGTAAAAGAGGGAAACAAAAGAACAAGTGTGCACAAGGTCTCTGCTAAAATTCCTTCATATTTTAAACATAACAATGGTGTTCATATTTTAAACAAAACAAAACAATTTCCCAAATTGGTCTGTCAAGCACCACCAAATCCGCAGTATCGAAGAACCTATCTACTTCACAAATCCACCTACAACAAACGATAAAGAAATTCTGTCAAAATTATTTCTCCTATATTATTCACAATGCAAGAGAATAACAGTATATGCATTCAAACAAGCCAAACCTTGGTTGAGGGTGTCAGAGGCTGCAGAGGAGGTTAAGAACAGAGGTGTGGCGCGGTGGCTCACAGGGTGGCGTCCGGTTGACGAGGAGCTTTGGTGGAGGTTGGATTAGGGTGAGGGCTGACTTGGGGGGAGCAGTGAGGGGGCTAGGGCTCGCCGGGAGTGAGGAGGAGATATTGGCCAAGGTTAAGAGGAATGGGTGAGTGAGGCGCGAGAGTTAAGGTTATTTGGGGATAAGTGGCGCAAGAGAGAAAGTGAAAAATGTGGTAGTATATGATAGCGGTTAAATCTTAACCGCTATTATAATATCACTTCTAATAGCGGTTAAATCTTAACCGCTATTATATATCACTTCTCATAGCGGTTAAATATTAACTGTTATTATATATTTTCAAATATGATCGATCATTTGAAAATGTAATCGATCATTATCAAAAAATGTGGATGTCGCTCGAGCGAGATCAGTGTCGCTCAAGCGAAATACAACCCGAGAATGCCAATTTTGTGCAGGTGGCGTCGCTCGAGCGAGACCATGTCGCTCAAGCGAAATACAACCCGAGAATGTCAATTTTGTGCAGGTGGAGTTGCTCGAGCGATGTTATTTTCGCTTGAGCGAATGTTGACCTGTTAATCGTCGATCAAAGTTAGCCGGATAATGTAACATGGGTGACCTCATGTTTGAATCGGATGTCGCTCGAGCGAGTATAGTGTCGCTCAAGCAAAATACAACCCGAGACTTC